TGATTATCGATTTGTAGTCGTTGGATTGAATTGACAGACGGATTTATAATTATAAATACAATGACGAACGAACAGATATATATATAATGATATGAAACGATACAAAGTATAAGTACAGGTAGTCCTCCTACAACACGTCATCCTATAACATGGTTTCACTATAACACGATTCATAAATTGCGGGAACCCTCGTACAACACATCCTATAACACGGTTTCGTTCTAACACGATGAGAAAATTGCAGAAACCTTTGTACAATATTGTATTTCTATATGAGCAGTGACGACGAAGAAATTTATTAAATTAAAGTTGCGTTAAATTAAAATAATATTTTTGTCTTTTTTTTAGTTTTGTGTTGTACATACGTTTATATTTTTAATAAAAATTAAGTTGTTCGTGTAGAATTAAAAAAGAAGTTTTTTTAATTTTAAAAGGGTTAACAAAACTTTGTTTTTAGTAAGTTTTCGAAACGTAACCCCCCTTTTTGTACTGGCTCTGGGTCTCATACAACACGGTTTCACACAACACAGCATTTTCTAGGAACCTATCTACCGTGTTATAGGAGGGTTACCTGTACAGTATTTCGCTCTCTCCCTGTGCACTATTAGGTAACACGGTTAATTTGTAATTTAATTTAACGAAAACTGTGAGTAAATGGATAAACTAATAAGAAAATTTATTGAACACAATAACAGCACGACATAAATTATAATTAATGACTGTCATTCACCTACTGATTGCTTTTTCACGACTCTCTGTCATACTCGTCACACACATATTCTTCCGCACAAACATTCCTCACACTCATACCACACATTTTATGACAACCACAGTAATCTATCGTGGTACCTATCTTTTACTAAGAATTCTTGTTTGCTCTGAATTTTATTGAAATTTTGAAGTTTCCAGCAATGGGATTTGAGGTTTATAGCCGGGAATTTTGAATCCCTATGGCCCACAGTAGTATGTAAATACTTCATACGTGTTCTCTTATTCCTTTTTCTTCTTATTATTATTATTATTATTATTAGGATGAATAAAAAGTCGGAGAAAGATACTAAGATTTATAATTTTCTATTAATTTATTTATTTTATAGCTGTGATTATTGATTTTTGGTATGTACCTAACTCGTATTTTGCTATCTGATTTTTACTATTACGAATAATTTTCCACATCCCACGATTGCTCTTTTATTCGTCCCAATTACTTCATAGCTGTGATTACTGATTTTTGATATATACCTAACTCGTATTTTGCTATCTGATTTTTACCATTACGAATAATTTTCCGCATCCCACGATTGCTTCTTTATTCATTCCAATTTTCTACGTCGTGAACCTAGAACGAGCCACCTGTAACGTGTACCAAGATACAGAACATATGTGAACATAGCAGATAGATGAGAAGAAAATAATAATTATCCCCACCTGTTCGATAAATCAGAAAATAATTTTCAAACAATTTTCGTTATAACGATTGAAAACACCTCGTTAAAATTATTCGAAAAATTGATCGATTTATCCCAGTCAAGTCGAAATTTGTGTTTTGATGAGGCAACGAGGACGTTTTATAAATGCGATAAAAGGCGAGGATTTCGAATAAACGCGAAACATATGGAAACTATAGCGATAATAGACACAACAGAACCATCTTGTTCGCACGAGTGCCAATACGTGACTACGAGGACTCCCTATTCTCCCTTTTTATTCATTCCGAGCAAGTAGCACTCGCTCGAGTGTCTGTTTCATCGATACGATAATAACGAAATATCGTTAAACAGACAGGGAAACAACACTCGATAATTCTAAATGCCGGTAATATCGATAATCGACGCTCAGATACAGGCGAACGCGTCGCACCATCTGCAGCCGTAATAACAGTCGGATTTTTTAATCGATACCCCAGGTTCGTGTACGATTACGATATATCGTGATTAATGAGTTAAAAACGGGATTAAACCGTGGGGAAATCGTTGCATATTAAAACACCATAACGAACCCGACATCACGTTTCGCGTGCTATAATTTATCAAGGAACGTGCCCAAAATTAGCGTAATTCCGAATTAACGACGAAAATCAAAGCGATACAGGGTGGCTCGCAAATTTCTTCTAATGTGTTCTTCACATGTTAATTTTCTTTTAGACAGAAGGCATAGATAAATATTTAACCGTGCTTAATCCTGATAAATTCTGATTATTAATTTTACATAATTGACATGAGAGTGTCAAAAAATAAAATTTGAAGAATATTTTGATATATAGTACTGCGAGGATGCTTCAAATTTCTAAAAATTAAGGGATATCGCGTGATTCTGAAAAGTTTGTATTATTTTTATTATTATTCTTTATATTTCTCTTTATTATTCCAATTATTATTGTAATAAATAATTTTTGTTCTGTTTATTATACAATTATTATAGTAATAAATAATTTTAATAAATCCTAGTTTTAAAAATTACGAAATATATAAAATCGATTAACTCGAATATTTAACACTAAATCTACCCCATCCTGAATAACCCTTTTTAAATATGTGATTAATCGTTTCTCGATTTTTCTTTTGATATAAGTATCATAAATTTTCATACATATCTACTTGCTCCAATTTCTTTGAAAACTTCCTTCTTTTATTCTTCCATCTGGTATTGTTATCCTTAAAAAATGGCAACCTTTAAGTGGACCACCCTATATCAATTTTATATCGACAAAATCACAGATCATTACACGCGCATCATTACGTAATGATTTATTATATTATCGCAAATAATTCCGATTCGAAGTCACAAAAATGAAAGGAAATCTACACCAAACGAACAAACATAATCAAACAAAGGAACAGTCGTATCCTTCATTCGTAAGCCAAAGAAACGAACTACTAAAACAAAAGGCCCCTAAATGTCGAAGCCAAGACCAGTGGAAACACCGAGAGCAACAAGGGTGGCAGCAAGGAACGCGACCCATGAAACGTAATCCCAGATTTCACGCGAAGATTATCAACGATGACCATCGGAGGGTGGTCCAAAATGGAAGCCGCGTAACGAGCTGAAAGGGGTGACGCCGCGTCCCGCTTACGATTTTTCATCCATAATTAACTGTCACCGTGCACCGGTCAAGTAATCAAACTGGAAACAGAAATCCGTCACGCGTTACCATGTTCGACGCGCAATATGGCCGCGTCTACACCCGACACCGAGCCAAAACCCTCTGAGTAATTTCGACGATAATGTGCAATTATAAAATTGAAGGAGCCTAAATTCCATTCCCGTTTCTACCTGCAGATATATCGTTGAAAATACACGAGAACCTATTCTAATTTCAAATGAAGAATATGAAAAATTTACAGTCTCTTAACAATTTCGAGATGAGTCTAAATCGTTATTTAGATTATGTCGATTTGATTTCGATGCTTACATTAAATTATAGGCGAAATAAAACTGAAGATATCTGAGAACCTAATCGAAACCAAGACCATAAAAAATGTATCGTTTTCTCGCAATTTTAGTATGGTTATGAACCATCGCGTTAAATTATGGCTTATTTCAATTTTATATGAACATAAAATAGAATCACCAGAACCAACGATTCAAACTAAGTAAATCCAAACTACCGAGTTTGTTTCAAAATGCTACCGAAGAGATCTAAGAACCTAAGCTAAACCAGGAATAAGCGAACTTTATTATTCCTCAACAATCTCGATGCGAACAGCACCTACCGCGTTAGTTTGATTTTCATTAACTATAATACACGCGATACATTTGACAATTTAATTTTCGCTCGCTTCAAACTGCGAGTAAATCGGACGATAATGTAAGATTATAAAATACTACTACCGTCATCAATTACGAGATACATAGACGAAGTTAATAATTATAATTGTCCTGCACTGTGCTCACTGTGTACACTCTCTCTCGCTCTCCGCCACTGCCTTCTTCCCATAACAGTCATCTAACGTTCCAACCGTAAGATCGTCCTCACCCACGCGAAACAAGTATCCTTACATCACGTACCAACACTCGCGCCATTGCTGGACCATACGCATTCGCGCTCGCACCTCGCCATCTCTCACTCGCGAAACCAGTTCCACGCAGACAGCAAACGAAATAAAACCCCTCTCGTCGACCTTTAAATATAAATTCCATCCACCTCCGCTTCGAAATACTTTCAAAGAGCTTCATCCCAAGCCCCGCCTAAAGACCACAAAAACCCCCGTTGTCTTGCAACAATTTCGCTACAAGCTCGAGCCGTCTCGCTGTAGCGATTGTATCCCATCGTCGGCCAGTAAGCAACGAACCACATCAAAAGAAGAATCGTTGAAACGCAATTCCATCGAGCCGGCAATACGCTAAAAGCGTTGCGGAGCGAGCCTGCGCGTCCAGCGATTAATTAATCCAATCTCCGCGATAATTCCGTAAACTTTCCGATCGCCAAGCCCCTCGGAGCATCTTCGCGATCATACGAGCGACGATGTAACTCTTATCGGAACTTATATCTCGTCAGCTACACGCCATCTACCAGACCGGTAGACGTTCTATCGTTTCTCTTCGTCGTACACAAAGGTGACGAAGATGCACGAGGAATGCTCACGCTATCACTCATATCTCGCCATCTCTCACGGTGAAATGGCGGAACCAATTCCACGAACTCTCCGTCTACACGCGCCATAATTAATTCCATTCGTCTCTCCAGCCGCGAAATTCCACGATGGAAAAATTCTCTGCCATCATCCACTTCCACCCTCTCCCGACTTCTACAACGCGGCGCGCTAACAAATGCGTCGGTTACCTTCCTGTTTCGACGTCCCGCGCATAACAACGAAGACAACGATTCCCCTCCTGGCCGATTTCATTTTCACGGAGAAAATCGCCCGGTCGTCGCGACGCACGGAACGCCTTGTACTTCTAGAGCGCGAGAATGGTACCCTACCGGTGAGCAGGCGACGGCTTTATCAGATAAAGAGGCGCTATCGGTCTTGCGAAATAAAACATCGTTGGTAGTTCCACGATGACACACAGTGCCGGTTGTTACAGACGCGTACGTGCGACGACTGTTCTTTGTTCCTCGCCCCACCAGTAATTTCAGTTTCCTTCGCAAGGAAGGCACCAACCACGTGAGTAAATTTGGCAGGATCGATTCTAACACGTAGATGTTGTCATACGTGGTCGATCGTGATCGTGACTCGAGTATCTAGGTGTTTATTCGATGCTAACGAGGATGATGAGATTGGTATCAGAAATTAGACATTGGTAGGTTTAATCCATGGGATTTGAAATTTTGCTATAGGAATTCGGTAGGTTTTGGGGATTTTTGAACAGCGTCTCGAGACACTCGACACATTAGTCATTTATCTGTCATTTATCAATTATCTTATCACCGAGACAGCAGAGTGATGGATGTTAAGAAATTGGGATTTGAGAAAATTTTTAGGAGAGTCTGGTTAAGCGTAGGTTATAGACTCTGTGGAATCATAAAATGAAATTTTAGACCCTAGTTTGAGGTGTGTTTGAAGCATATGTGGCAAGTGATAAAGACCCCGGTGATAATTTCAAATTAAACAACATTCTTATCTGCGAGAGATTATTTAGGCTGTTCTTTTGTTGGTCTCGATACACTGAGTACTATCTTCGTTTTACAAATTTAATATGACTCGTTAGTTCGTCGTAATTTCATATTGAGTATTGGAAACACAAGTTTAGTTGTAGACAAAAATAGTTTGGAAGATCTAAATTCCGAGAACGAATGTTTATATGAACATTAACGAACGATAAGAATTGGGGGTTAGGTGAACCATGTCACGTCACCTCTTGAATTCTCCTACGAGCTGGTCAGTCTTTCTAGAGAAGCACTCAAAGACTCATGTACCTTGCTTGAGTAATACAAAACCTTAATAGTAAATACATATTGTTGGAATAGACGTGGGTAATTCACGACGGGGTCTGAAAGAGTCTACATGCGTGGAGGACAACCCAAATTCGGTTCAGATCAATTCGCTATTCTCATGTCTGTATGTACTAGAGGACTGATAATACCGAGGCAATATCTACAGAAATGAGTCACTGATAAGGAAATACATGTAATAAGTATCGTATGAAGAAGGTCAAGTGCACAAATGGTTCTATTATTTTTATCAGGTCATGGACAGCGTGTACGGGACTCTATCTGACAAGTTGAGGAGAGAGGGTCTCTGCCCGATTTGCGTGATGGAGACAGACCTAGGCCCGAAATACACCTGCTCAAACGAGCACACGATCTGTTATCGGTGCAAACCTTATTACTACAGCTGTCCCATTTGCCAGTCGTCATTCGACACGAGTATACCAGCCGCGCACGGGGCTTCTTCGTTCCCAATGCCCACCGATTTCGTGCCTCATTCTCTTCCGCCCAGATTCTACTCGCATCATCCCACTGCTCCGCCGATATGCGAATTTATGGAAAGAGAAGGAAACAGGATGCCACCACACCCGCCTGGTCATCAGGAACTAAAGACGTGCGCGTACAGGGATTTTGGATGCTGGGTGAAGCTGCCCATATACTTGGACCTGCACGAATCTCGGTAAGGGATGTTAAAATTGTTAAATTGGTTAGGTTATGTTCGATTTTGTAAAGTTGATGGAATGAGAATAAAAGTCGTAGAATTATTTTTATGGGGTAAAATTAATATGGCATATGTTTGGAATAATATATTATTCGGTAATTTTTAATTTTCAGTAGGGATGTAAGAGAAATTATTTTTCGGGTAATATTGTTACAATTAAGGAAATTATATATTTTTATTATGGAAATACTGCGGCATATATTTGGGATAATATATGATTCGGTAATTTTTTATTTTCAGTAGGGATGTAAGAGAAATTATTTTTCGGGTAATATTGTAATTTTCGCAGTTATATATTTTTATTATAGAAATATAGGGCCGTATATTTCGGATAGTATATAATTCGATAATTTTTAATTTTCAGTAGGGATGTAAGAGAAATTATTTTTCGGATAATATTGTTACAATTAAGGAAATTATATATTTTTATTATGGAAATACTGCGGCATATATTTGGGATAATATATGATTCGGTAATTTTTTATTTTCAGTAGGGATGTAAGAGAAATTATTTTTCGGGTAATATTGTAATTTTCGCAGTTATATATTTTTATTATAGAAATATAGGGCCGTATATTTCGGATAGTATATGATTCGGTAATTTTTAATTTCCAGTAGGGATGTAAGAGAAATTATTTTTCGGGTAATATTGTAATTTTCGCAGTTATATATTTTTATTATAGAAATATAGGGCCGTATATTTCGGATAGTATATGATTCGGTAATTTTTAATTTTCAGTAGGGACGTGAAGAAATTATTTTTCGGGTAATATTGTAATTTTCGCAGTTATATATTTTTATTATAGAAATATAGGGCCGTATATTTCGGATAGTATATGATTCGGTAATTTTTAATTTTCAGTAGGGACGTGAAGAAATTATTTTTCGGGTAATATTGTAATTTTCGCAGTTATATATTTTTATTATAGAAATATAGGGCCGTATATTTGGGATAGTATATAATTCCATAATTTTTAATTTTCAGTAGGGACGTGAAGAAATTATTTTTCCGGTAATATTATAATTTCCCCAGTTATATATTTTTATTACAAAAATATTATGACGTATAATTGGAATAATATATTATTCGTTAATTTTTAATTTCTATTGCGAATGCAAGGAAAATATTTTTGGATTATGTTATAATTTCCACAGTTATATATATTATTACAAAAATACTGCGGCATATATTTGAAATAATATATGATTCGGTAATTTTTAATTTTTCAGGAAATATTATTCCAACTTCCGTAATTATATATATATATATTTATTATAAAAATATATAGGATAATACGTGATTTAGTAATTTCTATCTATCTAAAACGTAAAGGAAAGATTTCTATGATAACATTAATTTTTATAATTACATTTTTATCAGAAATATCAGAAATATCGTTTCATATATTTAGCATAATACGCGATTTAGTAATTTTTAATAGGAATAGAAGAAGACTTCTGTGGTAATATTAATTTCTACAGTCGCATATTTTATAATTTAATATCTCGACAAAATATCCGACAAATAATTTCGCGAAACATAGAAATTTTAAAACAATGATCGCAGATAAGCATAATTTATCAATCAACAACAGACTTGCATACGTGCAATTGATATCGCAACAGACCGTTATCGTCATTCAAACTGCGATATGAAATTCGAAAGGCGATTAAAAGATAAGAAAACAAATGACCACATTCGATCATTTTCCCCACTTTTCCCTATCATTTCCTCCCACTCGAAAATTCCAAATTCTAAACCATAAACAATCTGTAATAAACTCCTCGCATTCCCAATTTTCTTCCTCTCCCAAAAAATGAAAAGAAAAGAATAAAAAGGAGGTATTCCTTCAAATAAAGAACTGTATAATAATAGAATTGCAGAATTATTTGACTTCGATAATGCGCACACTGTGACATTACATTGAATATGATATATTAATTAATATCGATCTTCCAAATTTCATGAAATGGTAACTAAAGCTCACCTCTTGAGTGCAAAGGGTTAATATAACAAAAATTCGCAGAACTTGCAAAATTTTTACCATTAGCGGATTAGCTATACAGTGGTCATCCAAAATTGTATACTACTTTGGTGTCTAATTCTTCATAATCGGATCATAGTGAAAGGTGTTAATTACTGGAACCTGTCTGCTTCGATGCACCGTTTATCGAGCTTTGCAAATATGAACTTAACCCTTTGCACTCGAGAGGCGCCATTTAATCAGTCGTCATTTAATCAGATTCTGAAGATGGATGTTAATTAATATATCAAATTTACAATTAGCCAACGATGCGTCGAATATCGAAGTAAAATAATTCTACGTTTTAATTTCTATACGATTTCTTATTTACCCTTTTAAAATTATCGTCGACTTTATGGCAGAAAGTCTTCGAATTACTATTTTCCTGTAACGAAAAAATCTTCGAATGCAAAGAGTTAACTTTGCACCTTTTGGTCCTAGTCTGGGTCGGGCCCGAAGTCTAGTGCCGGTCCCAGGAAACCAGCGTGGCACTTAACCTGTTAACCACTTGTGCTGGCAAGGAATTCATAGACGTCTGTGCCAGAAGGGTCCAGTGTTTCTGTGACAATTGCCTGACGACGCATATACCACGTCGTTGACGATTCTGCGACAATTGCCTGACCACGTGTGTACCACGTCGATGACGATTCTGCGACAATTGCCTGACCACGTGTGTACCACGTCGTTGACGATTCTGCGACAATTGTTTGACCACGTGTATACCACGTCGTTGGCGATTCTGCGACAATTGCCTGGCGACGTGTATACCACGTCGTTGGCGATTCTGCGACAATTGCCTGGCGACGTGTATACCACGTCGTTGGCGATTCTGCGACAAAAGCATTACGACGTGCGTGGCACGTTTTACCAGCGCAAGCGGTTAATTTGGACGCATTCTCGATAATTAGAGAAACTCGACTGATTGAACGCAACGCTGTGATATTTTCCCTTTTCAGATGTCAGTTCCGTCCTCACTTGGAGGAAGAGATGCCCAAGTCCAGCAATGACTCCGAATGAGCACCATGGTCGGCCCGAAGAATTAGTGGAATGTAAATATAGAAAATACGGCTGCATGGTGAACATGCCCAGAAGAAGGAAGCTGTTACACCAGGAGCAATGCAACTACCGGAAGTACGCACACAGCGACAGCGACTTGTCGACGAACAGCGACTTGTCCACAGACAACGAATACGATCCGCAAAATTGCGTGGCGTGCAAATGGACGCAATACGGGTGCAGAGTGAGGCCCAAAATAAATCGTTTGAAGTCTCACGAGATGAACTGCAATTACAGGATGGAAGAGTGCGCTTATAAATCCAGAGGATGCACGGAACTGTTCAAACCACCGAGGAAATTCGCTCATGAGAAGAATTGTCAGTTCTCTAATTTTTGACGAATTAATTATTTAATTCGAGATGAAAATATGTAGAAAATTCTTTTTTTTTTTTTTTTTTTTCCGGGTTTAATAGCGAAAAATAGGAAGTGCGTATAGGGAAACCTTTCGAAGAGGACTTTTGAAATTCTTCGTGAAGAAATTTGATCAGGATTCTCTGTGAATAACTCGATGCAATTGGTGGAATTTTATTTTGATTCTTTTGGAAAAATTCGGGGAATTTAAATAAGAAAGGTGTTGCTATTTTCGATTTCCATTTTGAGTAACTTGAGTATATTATAATGATTTAAAAATGATTTCCATTTTTAGTGACTAAGTATATTCTTGTATTTATACTTGTCGTTGGTTTAATAAAATTTAATTTGCGCAAAATTATCCTGTATTTGTCGATGTATGTTAGTGTTTTTAGTGGAGTATGGTATGTTCGTGGGTCGTAATTAGGGGCTTGAACGATGGATTTCGTAATAAGTGACGAAGCGTTCTTAATCTTCCCAGTGCATCACGGGAAGACGTACAAGCATACATACCAACGTCGTTGGTATATACTTCCCAGTATCGATTCGCATCTAACCATACATTGTTCCAGAAGACAGTTCAAGCCCATTGAATACCGCGCTATTAATTACATTACCATCAATTAGGTTAGCTTAGAGAACGAATGTTTCATCCTGGTAGGAGTGGCTTAAATTGCGAAATTCGAACTGGAAGCGTTACAAGTATTATTCAGGGAACATGGGAAAATATATGAAAACGGTATTTTACGCAAAATGATTTTCTGGGATACAGAAAAACCTTCCATTCGCGATAAAATTCGCGAAATTTATTAGCCAGGAATTTCATCAAGCTGAGATCACTTTTCTCTCATCACGCGTTCGCGATAAAATTTGCAACAAAGTTCATAATAAAATTCGCAACAAAATTCGCGACAAAATTCGCGATATCTGTTACCATGATATTAACCAAACCGATATCATGTTTCTAACACCACGCATTCGCGATAAAATTCGCAACAAAGTTCATATTAAAATTTGCAATAAAATTCGCAATGAAATTCTCAAAAATCTGTAACTTACGACATCCACGAAACTAGCACCATCTTTTTATCAACAAACATTCGAGGTAAAATTGGCAACAAAATTCGCAGAAATCTATTATTCGCGATATCCGTGAAGTCAAAACCACTTTTCTATCACCACAGATTCGCGAAATCTATTACGCACAATATCAACTAAACGAAGACCATTTTTCTAACGCCACAGATTCGCAATAAAATTCGCGGAATTTATTAACAAGGAATTCCATCAAACCGATATCATTTATCTATCACCACCCATTCGCAATAAATTTCGCAATAAAATTCACGACAAAATTCACGATATCTTTTACTCACGTTATCAACCAAATGAAGAACGTTTCTCTAACACCACAGATTCGCGATAAAATTCGCAACACAGTTCGCAACAAAATTTGCGAATTCTACTATCCACGATATCAACTAATCGAAGACCACTGTTCTAACTCTAGGGATTCGCGACAAAATTCGCGAAGAAATTCGCAAGGAAATTCGCAATAAAATTCTCAAGGAAATTCGCAACAAAATTCGCGTTATCTACTATCCACAATATCAACCAAAGGAAGACCATTCTTCTAACACCACAGATTCGCGATAAAATTCGCAACACAGTTCGCAACAAAATTCGCGAATTCTACTATCCACGATATCAACTAATCGAAGACCACTGTTCTAACTCTAGGGATTCGCGACAAAATTCGCGAAGAAATTCGCAAGGAAATTCGCAACAAAATTCGCGTTATCTGCTATCCACAATATCAACCAAAGGAAGATCATTCTTCTAACACCACAGATTCGCGATAAAATTCGCAACACAGTTCGCAACAAAATTCGCGAATTCTACTATCCACGATATCAACGAACCGAAGACCACTGTTCTGACACTACGGATTCGCGATAAAATTCGCGAGGAAATTCGCGAAATCTATTAATCACGATATCGAAGAACTTTCCGGATTATAGCAGGATTATTCGCTGCTCTCTGCCACCCTAGACCCATCGGCCATCGCGGTGCACCCTCGGCCGTTGTATCGCGTATACGATACCGAAACTTACACTGCCATTCGAGGGATGATCCGGGCCATGATCGCTTGGAATGAGGGAATGACGAGCATGGCTGGGACATCGAACACCTGCAAGCTAATGGTGTGCAGCCTCCCTAGCCGCTAACCTCGCGCTGTTTCGTCGCATTGCAACGCCGACACGAGCCTTTATAGCGACCATTTATAAGGCCACCGAAAAACCTTGGGAACCGAACTGTCTCGAACGTGACTACGTTCCTGCAGATACTTTCCACCTTCTATGCCCGGGCTACTAAGACGATAAATCGCGTTTATATCCGACTCTTGTCGCCCAAGTTAACAGGTTGGTTGTCCGGGATGCCAGCAGAGTGGAATTGGACCTTTCCAAAGGAGTAATTACCGTTGAACACTGGATCGAAAAGTATGCAAGCCTTTTACAGGTGCATAATCCTTTATTATACATGCGGTTAAACGAGATTAAACGAGGTTACACGAGGTTACACGAGGTTACACGACGAATCGCTTTGCCAGGTATACAAGAGAGGCAGGGCCAACGAGAAAAAGAAGGGCAGGTAAATATGGTGGAAAAATGACGTCACGACAAGGAGACAATTAATTGTATATATATAATTATACAATTAATTGTAATGCATGGAGATGTTGGGATTAATTTGAAAATGTTTACGATGATGATGATGGCGGATGGCGTGTTTGTAGCATACTTTGGTTTGTTTCTCTTTGGATCAGGTTAAATTGTTTGGAAGATTAATTGATTCTCTTGGGAGATTGTGTTTGGAGGTTAGGTTTGGAGATTATTCTATGAGATTTTCGATGATAATATCGAGGATATTTTTGTTTCTGTGCTCCGATTTTTGGTTCATTAATGAATTTTAATACGAGATTCTGTGACTTGTTGATTAGTATATTTTTATTATACTATTACTTCGTAACTCGTATTTGTATCGGTAAGTAAACAGAAGACACTTCTTATTCACAATGGAGTAGTATTAATAAAAGACTTAATTTTATTATTAATCAAAATTATAAATTTCTAACTACTCCATGACGAATTACAACTGTGCTATTAAAATTGAAGATATTAATATTCGAAATACATAATATTAATCGTAATTTAAAATATTTTTATTTTAGAAGACGCAATTAAAAATATTAATATTCGAAATTCCTAATATTAATAGCAATTTAGAAATTTTTAATTTCAAAAGACGCAGTTAACAATATTAATATTCAGAATTTATAATATTAATAGCAATTTAGAATTTTTAAATTTCAGAAGACGCAATTAAAAATATTAATATTCGAAATTCCCAATTTTCATAGCAATTTAGAAATTTTTAATTTCAGGAAAGGCAATTAAGGATATCAATACTGTTATTTTCCAAATGAACGAAAATTGCAATCGATCAAAATTCGTTAATAAAATCCTAATCAAAAAATTTCTCGAATCAAATTTTAATGAAATCACGAAGTGATCGCAACATTTTCGAATCTCCTTGCTCGATTTGTCCATCAAACACTTCGTCTATCTGCTAATTTAATCCTTTCGATCAATGTACCCCCCACTTTCTCACCCTCGAAAACGTCGGGAAAAAACGTATTCCGGGGGAGAGATTCGACGACTGGCTGCATGAAAATCTCAAAAGAATCCGCGGATCTGAGTGTACGGCTTTTTAGGTACTACATAAATATCGAACGGGCCGGAAAATGGTAAATTGTTGTCCGTTCGCGGTTCACGCGAAGCGTAAGCACGTTGGTCAGAACTTTAACGATCAGAGCTGACCCGAGCGATGGACAAAAGGGAATAGAGGCTGTTTTACATAGTAAAGAGCGAAGAAGACTGCCATCGCCGCGACCCAACCGGATTCTTAAAGGGGATATTCGCTTCTGAAGTAAGGAGAGGTTATATTCCGCGGAATGC